GAGGTGAACGAAATTTGGCTAGGAATAACCTAGAATTTTCGTTCATGAGGCTTAGGATAAGGAGATAAGGCAGTTTGATTATTATATTAATTAATATAGTCATTTTCCCAAAAACTCTAGCTTTGGCCTCAAGTTTCCTTCAGCTATATAAACCCCTCCCTGGCTCTTATTATTTTTGTCCACTCCTTCCTGCCTTCATAGAGCCAAAATTTTGCTCAAACCTGCTCTCTCCTCAAGTCTTCTTTCTACTAGGGTTTTGGGTACAAGCCATTAGAGGCATCCATTCCTTTGGTGCTAGCTTTCCGAGATTTTAAAGAAGGATTCTACTTTGATTATTTGCAATAATAATCAAAAGGTATGTAGCCCTAATTTGAAGTGAATTTTGATTTCATAGCCTTTCTCCTAGGTTTTCTTGATATGCATAGTTAGTTGCTATCAATAAAGAAAACATAGATCCTTTCTAGGTTGCATGTGAACTTAAGGGTTTAAGTGTTTTTCTGCCACATGTAAAATTTGAAGACCTAGAAAACCCATTAGTAACACGTGCTACCCCTGCCAACATGTAAAATCCTTAGGCTTAGAATTGTTAAGTGACATTTGTTTGTTTGAAAACAATAAGATTAACAGAGTTGATTTGAAAAACAACGGAAACCAATATCTTCGATGTGAGTGTGTAGTCACGTCGAGCTCTTCGCACAAACAACCTGCAAAACATTTAATCCACAACTATAAGCGTAAAGCTTAGTAAGTTCCCCATTATACCACACAATCCACCATAGGTATAGTGCATACAAACAAAGTTCTCGACTCTAGCGCCGATCTGCCAACTCTCCTTTAACAGGCACACAACACATAATCACCATACGTATTGTCCACTCGCACTGTTGCCATTTCACATCTTGCCAAGGGCTACATTCTGGTCTTTCATTCCATTCCTATCCATATCCAAACCGTGGTCAGTGCTAATATTGACAACCGCCTCATGAATGCATAGTCATATGTTGTTTCGAGTCAGATAGACAGTCAAAAGGTGTTCCTACCTGAGAGCAATAAATCAAACAAGAACCATGCAATAAGGCTTTAGACCAAGATTCCTCAGGCTATCTAACTTAAACCACATACAACCCCTAAGGTATCCATTCAACGATCAACCAATACTATCATTACCTTAACCAATCATGACATCTAACCATACATAACCATAAACATACAATACGACATGTTTCAACCAACGGGACTATTTCATCCCAAGTGAATGTTACAGCCTACTTGTAGTCTTACAACACACCTGTAGTTGTCATGGCCTTCCCCATGGACTTTCATGCTAACATAACAACAAGAGTCACAAAGACAACAAATCATGACATCTAACCGTATTATACAATCAACAGGCAAGACCCTACCAGTCTCGCATACCATGACACCAATTGTCCCATACTACACATACATAACAAGGAGTTATCCTAGTCAACTAGTATACATGTACTCTATCAGTACCATTATCCTAACATACACATGATATACAATGCCATACGTGGCCTAGTGAGAAAAATCACCTGAATCGCAGAACCGGAGGAACACAACAACACTCTTGCTTCCTTGCACTAATCAATCCCGTGAACCGACTATCACCGAATAAAGAAAAATCCTTAATTAACAACCCAATTCCTTCAAGTTTGACCCGTGGTCAAACTGGTTAATAGTCAACGGTCAACAAAAGTCAATGGTCAACCTATTCCATGACCACTACGTCGTGGTGAGCTCTTGGCCACGGTGTGGGTATGACAAGACAAAACAGTCACAATGCATAATATCACCACGTCGTGAGCCTCCTTGGCCACATCGTGGTTTCTGGCAGATTGGTATTTTCTTCATTAAGAGTTTAATCCCTACATATCTAAGCCCATAACGTCAAATCTGGTCCTTTTCAATGACTTAATGGATAAAGTTTCCAACTTTATCCGTTAGAACCTCACCCCAATCAAGATTTACAACCCTAAGTCCATTAAGCCCTTATAATGGCCACAACTAGTGCATGGTTCAAAGGGAACCATGACCTAACACTTTTTCCACCAAGTTAAGCTTAGATATGGTCACCAAGCAAGTCTAAGGTTCTAAAGTTGCCCAAAACTCCAAGAACATCCCTTCAAATGACTTCAAAGCATGAAATGAGAAACAAGAATGATAAAGGTGGAAGCTTTATACCTTACAAAGCTCCACAAGATGCAAGAGAAGAAAGATCTGAAGTAGATACACCCTTTCAATCAACAAGCACACCACCTTCTTCTCCCGAGATGTACTCCAATGACTCAAACATCCAAAAGCATCACATGAACATAAAAAACAATCAATAAGGGCTAGGGTTTTCGAGTTAGAGCCTTTAAATATGTAGGAAACCCTAAATTTCATGAGATTAGGCTGCAACAGCCACCACGTCGTGGCCATCATCTTGCCACGTTGTGGTGTCTATTCGAACACGATGCTCATTTAAGTGTCATGCCACGTCGTGGTCATCAACACATGACGTCATATCATAAGGTTTTCCTTCAAAACCTTATATTTGAAATCCCCAAGTCTTCATTTGATCAATTCCAGAAAATGGGTGTTACACAACAAGCAGGTCCGTCTATGTGGATCAGTCAACGGTGACATCGACATGTATTGTTGTAACGACCTAAATTTTCAACCAAAATTTTACTTTTTAAATTAAGATTCAAACAACTCAAAAACCATTTTAATCAAAAGGAACATAATATTCATTGGTTTCAGTCATCATAAAAACATAGTATCAAATTAGAATATAATGAAAGTCTCAAAAGCATGATCAACCAGATGCGAGTACAGTCACGTCACACCATTTCCTTTCTCACCATAACAACCTAAAAAAACATCTAACTTTAAAACCTAAGCACAAATCTTAGTGAATTCCACATGATACCACACATACAATGCATACTCTTACGAATGTTATAGTCCAACTATAGTCTCCCTTACCATATAGTCAACTATAGTCTTTCATACACTGTTATAGTCTACTATAGCCTTTCATACCATTCTATAGTCTAACTATAGTCCTTCATAAAATGTTATAGTCTAACTATAGTCTTTCAGTCACATAGACATAGTATAGTGAGAAAACTCATACGAAGCTAGAAGTCTAAGTCTCATATACAAGCTCCCACACGATTCAACTGGTGCGAACCACCTAAGTTCAACATATGAAGCATCTTAGTAACCATTACTAATCTGAAGTACAACCTTGGTCTAAAGTTTAATATCCAACAAAGTTTAACCAAAAGTCAAACTGGTTAAAAAGTCAATGATCAATGGTTCAAAGTCAACTAGCCCTTGGACACATCGCGTCTACAACAGTCCAAAATAGTCGCGATTACTCTTTACTCGACGCATCGTATACACGGATGGACGCTTCGTGTTTTTTACGTAGATCCACCACTTCTATTAAGTGTTTAATCCTTTAAGCCAGAGGCTACAACTTTCTAAAAACCTTCTAGGGAGGTTCTTAACGGATAAAATCCTAGCTTTATCCACATGGAAGCCTCTAACCTAACAAACACCAACCCTAGATCTAAAATAAGCCAAAAAAGTCTTAAGGCTTCTTGCATGGTTTAAAGAGAGCTCATGCGTGCTCTCTATTCACCTTAAATGGCCCAGAAAGGTCTTCAAACATCCTAATTAACATTGAGTTTCCCAAACTCCAAAATTGTTAACTAAATAGGACCAACATACACTAAAACACTTTTAAATACTAGATCTATGAAGAAAACTCACAAAGGTTGGAACTTTATCACTTACATGGCAAAGGAAGTGACAAAAAGGTTGAAACTTCACTGCATCTTTCTTCTTTAAGTAAGACACTAAAGCTCAAGAACACCAAGAATGGAGGATATGATGTTAGGGTTTGCTTGCTCTAGGGTTTCTAGACTGGTGGATGCTAATCAAAGAGAAACCCTAGAAGTTAAAGCCTTTAAATATGGTCCAAAACCTGAGACATAGGGTTTTGAGGTGTGGTGATGACGCGTCGTGTCCGACACGCCCTTTAAAGAATGTGTTACATCATAGCCTAAAATCAACTTTCCTTAAATCTTTAGGATAATTAAACTGACAATAAAACAACCCCCCCCCCCCCCCCCCCCCCCCCCCACCCAAAAAAAAATATACAATATAAAAGATTTAAAAAGTCTTCTTCATTTTCCCCTAGCTTATTTTTTTTGTTTAGTTTTAAGAAACTCTTATTTGATTATATTCAACCCCACTAACTTTCTGAAAATTGAAACACTATCTTAGACTTTAGAAATTTAGAAGGTTTCCAGCATTAGAATTTCAGAATGGACAAAGGTTGACTATGACTCCCCGTTCTACAAGGATATGGGAGATGGCTCACCCTTTGTCGATATGCTAGACACCAAAGTATGTTGCCTTCAAGACCCGAACAATATGTAAAGGTTCAGGATAAGGGTTGTCAAAAGATTGACATAGGTAGACATTACCTTAAAAATCAAATTCTATCCCCTTATATTAATATGCTACTTCTATTTAGGTTTTTCCACAGCCACAATTCCACCCAATACTTTACATGACACTGTATCAAATTTGATATTCTAGATATTTTGGTAAATGTCCACCTGACACACTCAACATGACACTGTATCAAATTTGATATTCTAGATATTTTGGTAAATGTCCACCTGACACACTCAACATTACACAATTAACCAAACATCCATTTCTGTTAATCCATGGAATAAATTACAGAAACACAAAACTTCTTCACAAATCTATCCCTACTTCACAACAAACAAAAGACACCAATAAAGTAATCCGAGCTATGTACAAAAAAAAAAGGAAGAACAAAAACAACGGTTACTTGTTAGAAAAATGTTGATATTTCAATAAATAACAACAAAGATGCATTCTAGAAATGAAAATCAAGTCTAAAATTACTATGTACAGCAAAAAAAAAAAAAAAAAAAAACTAGCAACTCCATGTGTAAAACAATTTTAGCCTAAAAGCCAAAAAACGATTATCCACCTATGCAGCCACATGCTTTATGTTTTAACTTTCCTCATTCAACCAAAGTCCTAGACTTGGAAACAGACTTTTGTTCCACAAAACTGGAACTGGTGCCATATATCTTACGTGTCACATGTTTCCTGAGATACAAATACAAAATAACCAAATATTAGTTTATCTGTTATCAATAAAATACAACCAAATTAACAACATACTTTGGAGGGTTTGCAATTTGTTGAACATCATTGAAGTTATTTCCAATCTCAATGGAGATCAAACCACTTGATGGTGCTCCTGATGACTTTGGAGAATCATCAAAACTCAAACTTGAACTTTGACCTGAACCAAAACCTGCAACAGAGGTCAACACTCATTTAACTACATACAAAACAGCTATAAATAATATGATTGATTGTATTTCATACCTTGGAAAATTATGACAAGGAAAAAGAGAACAGTTATGGCCATAGCAAAGAGGCTGCTGTTTGATGATGATGATGATGATGATGGTGATGATGGTGACGATGATTTAGCTGCTCTTCTCTTCTTCAAAGCTTTCAATCTTTCAACTCTTGCACGCCTTTTCATGGTCTGTTCAGCAATCTCTTTAACCAGTTGTAAATCAGCTGTGTCTAAAGATGGACCTTTACGTGGTCTAGGTGGTTTTGGAGCCTTTTTCGTATGTGAAATCTTGCGCTTTTCTTTCAGACTTGTCTTTTCTAAAAGAGGTGTATTATGTTCACCATTCTTTACAAATTTGTGGTGTGTTAATGATTCCAGATCTTCATAGTCATCATCGCTTGATTTCACTGAGTTTCTGTAGGAATTACTGCTGCATTCACCTTCCTCTGATGCTTCAACAGTTAAAGCTGTTCTACCTACAGCAGATCGAACCACAGTTTTTGCTCTTTTGTTACCTTCACATTCACTTTCACTTTCACTGCTCACGATGTCAACAATGGTGTCTCTGTCTTTTGGCGGTTGATTGGTTTCCATCTGATCACGTAATCAATTTATCATCATGATGAATAGTGAAAAGAATAGAAAACATTATCAGAAGATGTAAAAGAAAAAAAAAATAAACATCAGAATTTAGATCGGTGACTATACCCTAAATCATTGGTAGGGTTTCTTTCTGGATTTTTCTGACAAATCATAGGAAAATCTTCTCAAATATAAATTAAATATGAAAAGTCGCCCATAAATTGCATCGCAATCGTTAGATTTATGATTGATTGAAGAAGCAGGCCCATGGATTTAACTCGACCAAAATTAGGTTAAAAAAGTATCTTGTATTCCTGTTTAGATAGTTTCTAACCACCGCTTCTAAATCAGAAAAAACCAAAAACAAACATTATCCGTTTGACATACTTCGCAAATAACGTGTACGAAACGAAAGAAAATTCCACAACGAACCGGCGGCTACGCCATCATCGGCGGCGTCGGTGGACACGATCGTCACAACTATAGAACACACGAAGCATAAAACAAGAAGCTGATTGAGGAAAAAATCGTATTACCTCCGCCGGAGCGTGAGCGTCTTCAAGCAACACCGATCGTCGTCAACAGAACACCTTCCAATGCCGCAAATATTTCACTCGCGTTTCCAAACTAAAACATTTGTCGAGCAAATGCAAGGAAATTAGATGAACAATACATAAAAAAATTCGAGCCGGCTTTTATCGTTGATAATTATCAAATGCTGAAGAACATATTCCGAAATTCTATGAACACAAGAGCAGAGGGATGTCTGTTCTCCCCTTTCCCAATCTTCATAAATTTCTACCCGTTGCTTATATATTTTAACTCTGATTACAATGACATTTTAATTTTTAAATTATATTTTTGTTTGTCCGCTTTTATTTAAGATTATTTAATTTAATTTTAGCGATAGTGCTGTTTATTTTCTTATTTATTTTCTAAATTTGAATTGCACTGTTACATAAATAGATCTAAAGAATGTTTAGCATAAACATTATTTTTTTTGAAATGTCAAATATAATTTAATCTTAAACTACTTCTAAATTCATCCATGCCTAAATTTGAACATTCAAATCAAGAAGAAGAAGAACATCACTTGATACCGTTAAACTAGAAGCCTTTTGGTTAGTATAAACATTATTCAAATCAAGGAAGAAGAACAACATCACTTGATACCGTTAAACTATAAGCCTTTTGGTTAATATAAACATTATTAACATTAGAGTTCACAAACTATATAACAATACAAAAATGGATCACTTCTAACTTGTGAGAGAGGTTGAATCAAACCCAATAAAGGGACAATATCATAAATCGCAATCAAAGACTTTTGATATAAATGGGCATCGATATTACATAAACATTATCATTTAGTCATTTAAATTTCGTGTTAACTCTTACATTTTTTCCATTCTCCCATTATGACCCCTACTCTCGGTTTGTCCGTTCTTTACTTACATGACATTGTTTTGTCTTTTATGCACTAAAACGACGCCCTTTTGTTACAATTTCTATTTAAATAAGATAATCACATTTTTAAAATGGAAATCGATTCAAGAACACAGGGCTCTTAGAAACATTCAAACAACCAAGTGATGTCAAAAACAAACCTTCTTGCCATTATTAATGATTGTCATGATGTGTGGTATTCCTATCATGGATCAGTTCATCTTCCTTCTCTAAATGAAAACCAAAATAAAAAATCTTAGCTAAAACCAGAACTTTGTTACTTACCTTGTAGACAAGAATTTCATCGGTGCGAGGGTCGTAGATGTTTGTGGTGTCAAGTAATGTTATGTAGAAATCAATAGTATGGTGAATGAGTTTGATCATACTGGATTCGAGTTTTGAGAGTCAATAGTTTCCATTCATACCCCCATACAAACCAATTGATTTTGGTGAAGCAACTTAAGCTTGCAAACCAAATTTTGATTTCCGAATCATTGACGACTTAATTTTCTTAACACTAATCAAAGAATATTATATAAACTTTCACAAGATTGTACAAGATAAATCTTGGCTTGATTATGATTTTAAAGAAACATAAGATGATGACCCATGCGGATCAAACTCCCATTGTTTTGTAATTTTTTGGGTTTAAATTCAGATCTTGATTTAGTTTTATTTTCAGCTTGGTTTTTCGGCTTTTGGTTAAATCGTATGATTTTAAGGCTAATAGCTTAATATGAAAATTTTTGCATGATATTATTGGATGTTAACCTAAAAGGATGAATAGTATGAAAATGAGGGTAAAATAATTATTTATAGTTTAATAACTGATAATAAAATTTTGCTTTTTTACACATTTAGTGACCAAATATTTTTTGTACTATTCTTACCATTGAGTTATTTTATTTTATTTAAAAAAACATCATTATAATCGGGTTGTTGTAGTTTCATCAAATATTAATTAGTTAATAATATGTATGTTTTTTTTAGGAATAATTACATATATGAAAAAACTTTTTTAGGAATAATTACATATATGAAAAAACTGCAAAATGGTTCACATATGGTTTGTCATTTGCTTTGAGTAAGGTCTAAATTTTTGAAGAATTATGGGAATCGTCTTTTTTTCACTAGTTTCGTTGTGAAATTGTTTTTAAAATTAAAAGATTTGTTTTGGCACTTATCCTTTAGTTTCTACATTTTGATTAATATTTCTTTAATAGTTATTAATTTGAAAATACTAATGGCCCACAACCCACCTCACCTTTTGTAACATCCCAAAAATTTCAACAAATTTAAACTTTTCAAAACAACCATTTTACTAATAAAAATGTTACAAAACTATTGTTTTCAAAATATTATTTAAAACCAAAGTCTCCTAAGATCCAATCAATTGTAAAACCAAGGATGCATATGGTCACGTCTTCACCTTGCCAAGGTCCACTGAAGTACCTGAAACCATAAACCAAAACTGTAAGCATGAAGTTTAGCTAGTTCCCCGAAAATACTACCACATAAGCAGATAACATATACAAATAAACAACACGCATACAAAGCCTTCAGCCTGACTGGAATGCCCCACCGGCATACAGTCTATCTGGTACGCTCACAGAACCTTCAGCATGACTGGTACATCTCATTGGGCCTTCAGCCTATCTGGAACGTTCGCCGGGTTTTCGTCCTGATTGGTACGCCCCACCGGCCTACAGTCTATCTGGGACGCCCTGGGTCTCTTGGCCTTGAGCACATAGCAGGACTGCCTCAACCCAACCACACATAAACCATGTCGACATATACATAACATATAAGCATACATATAACATATTGATACAAACTTTACCGGGTTTGTTGAATGGCAGCACAAAGCGGTATAGTCTCAACCCAACCACACTACACAGCTAACATATAACCAGTTAACAGACAATCAGGCAGATCTTACAGATCACTAAGCATAACATCATCCTATATACCAGGATATCGATCTAACAGATCACAACAGTACAATAACATGCATCACAGGATATCAATCCAATGGGTCGGCCTTGGTGCCTTCGACCCGTAAGTACAGTGAGGAAGACTCACCTCTCGTTCTGATCCATAGTTGATGAGGTCCCGACTCCGAATCTCAGCTCCAACCGACACTTATCCTTTCCAAATGACCGATCACAACCAAAATCCCAAGATGCCCAAAATACCCTTGAGGTCAAACTTGGTCAAAGTCCATAAGTCAACTAAGTCAAGGTCCAAAAGCCAAATAATCAACCAAGGCCTAATTATGGCCCAATTTTCCAAATTGGGCGCAAACCCCTTACATGGGCCTTACCCTAAAGCCCAACCATTTTCCTAGTCCAAAACACTTGCACTCAGATGGCCCAATGAGAACTCAAACACCCAAGCCCAAAAGAAAGACCAAACTCGAAGCCCAACATGCAAAACCTCACCTGATTGAGTACGCGGGGCGTACTCAGCTGTACGCCAAGCGTACATGCAAAAAGACTTGTACGTTGCACGTACAGACTTGTACGCCCAGCGTACTTACCCATTAAGCCAAATTTTTCTCTAAGCTCTTAATACTTAAGCCCAGAAATCCAAATCACAGATCTCAACCCTGGTAAAAGTCTAGAACCATAAAGTCACTAACTTGGTGACTTTGCATGCCCCATAAAGACCCAACTTCAAGATATAACATTCTACTTCCACTAAATGGACTTAATCTCATGCATGGATGATTCTAAACCTTAAAGGTGCCAACTTTATGGACCCTGAACCTCAGAAATACGAAGAGTGGCAACTCATAGCTCCTGGGGTGGTATCAACCACTAGATCTGATCCTTGGGGCCAAAAAGGGACCAAAACTCATATATACTAGATCTAAGCCATTAATGAACAAGTTCATATATTTTTACCTCAAGTAAGATGGAAATGAAGTAGAGAATCAGGATCCACAAACTCTTCCTTGATCCACAACCTTGCACCAAACTCCTTCTTCTGAATATGAACCAAAACGCACCAAGATGCACACAATGAGCTCGAAACAAAACAATGGAGGCTAAGGGACGATTTCTAGGGTTTTGGGGGCTGGTAAAGAGGCCAACCCTATAGACTTAAAGTGCTTATATGTGATAACCGTCAAATTCAAGTCAAAGTCAAAGTCAACAAGTCAAAGTCATCAAGTCAAACCGGTCAAACTTAATTAGTACTTGTATGTTAAAAGTTATTCTATGTATAAAAATGTGCATTTGTATGTCAAGAATTCGAGTGTCTCGAAGAATCTATATGTTTAGCAATGTAAAAACCCTAAAAAGGGAGTTAAACGCATCAAAACACGACTATGGACCCTTTTGGGGACTTAAAACAATCATAAACGAAGCATAACGGGATTCACGAACCTTGCATTACGAGATTATACGATAATAATGGCTAAGATTAAATCTCTCCCAAATCTCTCCAAGTATGTGAAATCTCTCCCAAATCTCTCCAAGTATGTGAAATCTCTCCCAAATCTCTCCAAGTATGTGAAATCTCTCCCAAATCTCTCCAAGTATGTGAAATCTCCCCAAGTATGTGAAATCTCTCCCAAATCTCTCTCAAACTTTTTATAGTCATCCGGGTCATCCCGACCCTTAAGTTGGCCAAAAACCGCTTGAAACGGAGAGTTATATCGAAAAACGGCTAATTAGGGTCGAAACCCTTCTTAGGAACCGAACCTCTTAGGAGCTGAACCCTCCTATTAGAGCCGAAGCCTCTCAGAACCGAACTTGTCAGAAGTGAACCTGTCAGAACCGAACATTCGAACCGAAGCCTGAGAGCCGAACTAGCATGCAGGACCGAAACTCCCTACAACCGAAAATAGGCCGAACCCTCGGTCCATTTCGGCTCCATAGCAATTTCGGACCGAGCCTCCACCTTCGGTTCCTCCTCTCGCACCTTCGGTCCCTTCTCCCTTCTCTCGGTTCCTTCTCCTTTCCTCTCGGTTCTCACCTTCTAAGAGCCGAACCTCGCAGGTTCGGTCCATAATGCCCGGTTTTCGACTACTTTCGCTTCCTAAGCCCGTTTTTGACGGGATTTTTTTCACCAAATTCATATTTTTACCATTTTAAACCCCCAAAACTCATATTTTATTTATTTCTCAAAGATTTATTAATTAAAATCATTATTTTATATTAAGAGGAGTATTCTACCCCACAAGTGGGTCAAGTGTGCCCACTTGCTTCCATGTGTCATCTCCTCATTAGTCCAACCCTATCCACATCACACAAACCAAGACACACATCCCTTCAACCTTGCCACTTGCTCCAGCAACATCTATATAAAGAAATCCCTGGAGGATTTCTTTGTTCACTTTGATCAAATCCTTCACTTACACACTTCTCAAACCACCTCAAGAAAGCTTCTTTTCTCTCTACTTCCCACCAGTTTGTGCTAGTGTTCTTAAGCTACTACTTCACTTTTTGGATCATCCAAGCTTTCACGTGTTCAGCAAGTGTTCTTGACTTGATACTCTTCGTCTTCGACCTTCCATTCTTCAAGAAATCACTCAAGGTGAGTTCATACCCCTACATTTTCCCGTTTTCTTTAGTTTTCAGGGGGGGGGGGGAATACAAGTTAAAACACCAAAACATATTTGAAACTTAACTTGACAGGTTACAACAGAAAAGTTGTGACCTGTTCACGAACTGTTTATTCAACTTAAACTTAATATTTTTCAAAACTGTTTAATATGCATATATTTCAGGTTTATACCTTTAAAATGACTACTTGCACATCTCCATACGATTTTTCTACAATTTATGGTGATTTTTACAAAACTGCCTATCATTGCAGCATCAAAGTCGGACCAGGTTGTGAAGATGAACATTTTCACCCTGGTTTGAGACCACCAAAAATTATAGGAAAATTTATGGATACAGTAGACTCTTTTTCCAAATACTCCGAGTTTACGGATTCAGTTTTCGACTTACGATGATTTTTCTATAAATATTCTAAAACAGTGACAGTTAAGGGTAAAACTGTCAAATACATGTTTAAGAGTTATTCACACCTTGTAACATGCTGAGCAAGGTGTGTACGATTTACACGTAGTATTTTAAATGTTATTTTATGGAAATACAAAGACATGCATAACAAGGTTTCATTCAAACACACAACACTTTTGATAAACTATAATAGGTATAGTTTGAGCACTTCGTTTGACAAAGAAAACAATAATTCAATCGACTTACAAAACAAGTATTTCATTACACACTACGTGAACTTGTTAATAAATAAATTTGTGAGACATTCTCCTTCGGGGTACTCTTAAGTACCATAGTAAAGTCCTGTAGTTATAATCAGAATCTCCTGGAGGGAGAGCGTGATAGTTGTGTATAGATCTATATTGGGTC